TATATTATTTAAATAAGTTTTTATAAAGTTATAATAAAAATATTAAAGGTGGTTTTTTTTGTCCCAGACTGTATATATAAAAGAGTAAAAAAATTTTATTATAAATTTTTTTATTATAAAAATTAAATTATTTTAAAAAATATTGATATATTAATTAAAACAGTATTAAGTAAAGTTGTTTATAAAATATTTAACTATATATTTATAAAATTTCATGAATTTTTAATAATTATTTATTAAGTTATAACTAAAAATATAAATATTATTTTTTTTGTAACATATTGTATATTGATTGCTATATTTTAATTGTTAATAATTCTTATATATTTTATTTCTTATAACAAGTTTGATATACTGTATAATTGATTATAGCAAAAAAATAAGATCTTGAGTATTTTTTTCTTTAGTACTGGTTTTTTTTAGTATTAGAGAAAAGTTTTATAAATCTTTGAGCAAAGCATTTCTATTAATCTCGATCGCTTTTTTTAAACAAATATATTGTTAAGAAAATATCCTTTTACGGAGTGAATTCTTAATTTAGTAAACTTTAATAAGTTTCCGGACAAACTATCGAATCATGCGTTCATTTACTTTGCATACGCAGAACTCGAGTCATATAAAAAGCTAATCCATCGCGTGTCAAAAACCGTTGATCGTAACACGTCATAGATTTCACGATATTGTTTTATAGTACTTGGTTTGTTTCTTCACGAATTTTACTTTGCTTTGGACTAAGTAAATAGTGATCTATTTTTTGTATACCATTATCCATTATCCATTATTAGAAAAATATGCCATACAAAGAAGTTAAAGGCGACCTTTTCAAAAATTCTGATCAGACTGACGCTTTGGCTCATTGCGTTTCCCAGGATCTTCGCATGGGCAAAGGAATTGCGAAAGAATTTAAAAAGAGATACAATGGCATTTCCGAACTTAAATCTCAAAAAAAAGAAGTTGGACAAGTTGCTTATCTTTCTCGTGACAACCGTTATATATTTTACCTGATTACTAAATCTAGTGTGTATGAAAAACCAACGGAAGAGGATTTTGAAAAATCGTTGGTTGAACTAAGAAGGTCATGCGAAGAATTCGGGGTTAAAGGTCTAAGTGTTCCAAGGTAATTACATGACTCTATTTTTGTGGTTTATTAATTACATTGAATAAAATATCATTCGAAAATTACGAAAAAAGTTTAGGAACGGGTCTCGACAAATTGAGCTTGGAGTTTGTTAGAGATGCAATCAACAGAGTTTTTGCAGAGAGTGATATTAGAGTCACAATGTATCGTTTGGAATTGTAACTGTAGATTGTTCTCATTTTTCGGTAAAATGGTTAAAATATAACTTCAAAATTTCAATTATAAAGATCGGTAATATTTAAGAATTATAGATTTTATCATTTTAATAGCTTGATTCAACAAAATTAGGTGTGAAGAAAAAAATTTTTTATTTATAATTGATTTTTATTATTTGAAAAATTAAATTTAAAATTTAATGAAAAATAATTTTTAATATAAATATTAAGCTTTATTTAATATATTTTTTATTGATTTATATATAGTAGTTTTAAGGAATTTGATAATTTTTTTAGAACTAGGAAATTAACAGATAATTAAATATTTATTAATAAGTCTGTATTAAAGAATACATTAAATAATAATAATAATTAAAAAACAAGAGCTTATAAATACAAAAATATAAATTAAATAAATTTAAGTTTTATAATTGTTTTATATAATAAAATAATAAATAATATGTTAAAAACTCTCTCCTGATCACATTCGCTTTGTTAAAAATTTTCCTTTTATAATAATTTTAAGCAAGAAAAAATAGTTTACTTTCTTTATTGCAAGTAAGTTCTAGTTTAGGAACTCAAAAACCTTCAAGACAACTGGTGCAATAGGATGGAATCTCTGATCAAAGTTTATTTAAGTTTGAAAGTCTTGTTTATCCTTTGGTTACATGAGGAAAAGTCTATGGCAGTTCTCTTTTCTTCAGTTCTTTTGCATTCCTCCTTATCCTTATTCTATCATAAAAATTATCCACATCATCATTATTATACTTACTAAATCAAATACTTTTTAAAACACACACTCAAATAGGATTAGAGAATCTACTGTTTGTTTTAAGTTAATTTTCATATACAATATTCTTGTAGCAATATTTGCTATACTACCTTTAACCTCCAAAAATTTTTCACTCAAAAACTGAAATCAGTTTACCTTCTCCAGATAATCAATACTCTTCAATTATCCAATCAAATTTTGTCTAATGATCAAAACAAAAACCAAATAAGCTCAAACCGGTTTTGTATCACAACAATAATCATAACAACAATAATAACTAACTTACTACCAATGACTATAATAACAAACAACATCACATATACTCTATTATCTATAGCATGTGAAAGAACAGAGAATTGGGACCACGAACTCACCAGGGGTTCTTTTATTCAATGCATAGATCTTATAATATATTTGATTTAGTTTTAATTATAGTTACTTTTATTTTTATTTTTAACTTTTTACATCCAAAAAATCAAAAGAATTTGCAAAATTTTCTGAAATGGTAAGTATAGTCACTATTCAATCTTATCTAGTATAATAATATGGATTTTGAATTTTTTTATAATATTAGTTAGATATTGATAAGTAAGCAAGCTAACATTTAATTTTCCTAAAATAATGAAAGAGATATTATTTCTTTTAACAATATATACTTTGTTATATACAAATCAAAATAAAAAAATAATGTTTACCTATTGGGAAAACTCTCTCCAAAATAATAATAATATATAGTATATTGCAAAATTTTTTGGATTTTTTTATTAATAAAAAATTTATTAAAATAAAATTTAAAATAAAAGAATTACAATAATATAAATTTAATATAAAAATATTTTGATAAGTTTTTTAAATTAAATTTAAAAATTAATTTTTTATTTTTTTTAATTGGAACAATTATTAACCAGATTTTTATTTATAAGAAATTACTTATTACTAATAATATTATAAATATATAAAGGTTAACATATATATCTCTTCACTAAGAAAAGTCTAATGCAAATCTCAAAAAGTGATTTATCTATTCTAATTATTTTTTTAATAATCATCCAAACAGTAGCAAAAAGATTTTCAAAATCTATATATCTTAAGCAATGCCTAATAAAAAATTAGAAATAAAGATATTATAGTCAGATATATATATTTGCCTTCAAGTTATAAATGGGATTTAATATATTTGCTTTTCAAAGTTGGTTTGATATATTGTATAATAGATAGAATAGGAGAAGAAAGGATTGGTTTTTTATATATAAAGACACTATAGTCACTTTTATAAATTGGCCTTCAAGTCATATAAAAAGTTTGATATATTTATTTTTCAAATTTAGTAAGAATATCTAATGAATAAAATTATACTAAAAATTTTTAAAGATATTGTTACCTAATTATATATATGGATCTATATTGTTAAGAGATAAATAAAAAATTTCTGTTGTTGATACCAGTTCTGTTTGTAGAAGTAACTAGAATTTCTAATTATTATATATCATCTTATTAGATATTCCAGACACTAGTATATTATTTGTAAAATTATACACTGATATTATTTACCATATGACCAAATATAGTAAAGTATAACTTTTTAAAAGTTCAAATAACAATAGTTATACAGTAACTTTTTAGATATATCTAGTCTAACTATTAACAAGTAAACAATGCTAAATATGATAATAAAAACTATATTAATCTTTTGAAGGAAATAAATCATTTGTTTTTTTTCTAAGAAATCATAGAAATAAAAAATTTTCTAAAGCCCACAATATAAAAAAAATTAACACTTCTTAATATGATTCTTGAGAAAAAAAAATTAACTGATCAAAGAGGTGATAAGAAAGAAGGCAGTAGTTTTAAAAGAGAAAAATACTTAAAAAAAAAAATTTCAGAAAAAAAAAATCTCTAACTTTGACTGATAAGAGAAAGAAGAAAAAAGAAAGAAGGATATATATTAAAAAAGATTTATAAAAAAGAGAGAAAAAAAAAGAAAAAGAAAAGAAAAGAATAATAAAAAAAGAAAATAGTATTAAAGAAAATGAAAAGTGAAAAAAAAAAAAACAACTTTAAAATTTTCTAAAAAAAAAATTTTCAAGTGTAGAAAAAGAAGTGAGAAATTTTTTTTTTTAAGTATTAAAAATTGATTACAAATAAATTTATTAAAATTATTATAATTTTATAAATACAAATAAATTTAAAATTTGTTAATTTAATTTATAGATTTTTATTTTTTTAAAAAAATTTTTGTATAATTTTTAATTTGTAAATTTTAAATTTTAAAATAATTTTTTTTATTTTTTAATTTCCTATATATTAAGATTTTAAAAATTTTTTAAAATATTTCAAAAAGTTTTGCAATATATTGTATATGTTTAAGTCAAATAGTTTAATTTTAAAAATTAAAAGCTTTTTTTATTAATTATTTTATTAATTTAAAAAATAAATATTTTTAAAAGATTTTAAATCTTTATAACAATAATATATATATATATTTATTTTATTAATATTGGTTTTATAATTAGTAAAATAAGTAACAGTTATTATTATTTTTTTTTTTAAAAAAAATTTTTTTATTTTTATAATTAAATATAAGAAATATATTTAATAAAAAAAACTTTTCAAAAGACCTATGGGTCTATAGCTCAGTGGTAAAGCTCTATAGGTCACCAGGTGAAGGTCTAGGGTTTAACCCCACCTGGTTACAAAAATTTATCACCTTCATGATTGGTTCACTGGCTTCCAATTCATGTCGTATCTAGGGCTCCTAACGATACCACTTCGATACCACTTCGATACTAGTTCGATACTTAAATTTACTATAAAAACATATGAGTAGGTCATAACCCATATATTAAATTTACTATAAATCGGTACCATTTCGATACCAGTTCGATACCAGTTCGGTACTTTTTCGGAACTCTATTTATATCATAGGAACATCCTGTTAATTGCAAGTCTAAATTGACACAATTTTCATTTTGCTCTTTCAAGACAATAACACCATTAATATAAATAATAAATTATGGATAGCCTCATTCAATATCACAAAGGCTTTCAACTCAGTTAATCTTAACAGCTTCAAAGCAGCCCTCCAAAGAATCAAGATACCAGTCAAATTAATTTCGCTATTCTACAATTTTTTGCACAGTCAAGAACTTTCTATAGTAACAAACTTTGATAAAACAGATAGTTTTATAGTATCAAAGAAATTAGACCAGGAAGAGATTCTCTCTTCATTGCTATGGACAATCTTCTATAATTTAATGATAATTATCATCCTCAATCATCAAGACCACCCACAAATTCCATACAATATTCTTATGTATATGGATAATGTACTTCTTATGGCAAATTCAATATTAAAGCTTCAACAACTTACAAACATATTTTGTTTCTTCTTAAGCCTCAATAATATCAAATGTAATGCAGATAAAACTGCTTTTATAATAATACTAGAAAACAATAATCCTAACAAAAACACTATTCTCAAAGTTTTTGAAGCCACAATTGTTCCTCTTTCATATAAATCAACAGTTAGATATCTTGGAAATTACTTCTTAGGCAATTCCATAGACAATCCATCCAAACACATCCTAATAAAAGAACTAAATCAAATAATCACAGCCTGTAGTAAACAAAATTGGAATGGTCCAATAACCAAACAGGCAGTGGACTGAATTATATCCAGCAAACTGGACTACACTTTATATTCAATCTCACTGTCCAAAAAAGAACTAGTAAACACTTAAGCCAAAATAAACAATTTAATTAAAATGAAACTTAGGATAAGCAGAACAATTTCAGACAAAATTATATATCCCAAGCTGGTCTTAAGTTTCTTAACTTAGTAGACAAGTAAGAACTCATCACCTTAAAACTCCTTATTGTGAAACTGTATAATCCAAAAACAAAAGCTACCATCAGTATGAAAATTAAGTTAATTCAAGCATGTCATGTGATCTGGCCTTGCCCTTATACTTTTCAAAAAAGTTTCTTGAGAATTGAATTACCAGAGCTGCACTGGCATGCAAGAAATATGAAGTCTCAATATGCACATCTAACTGTAAATTCAATAGTCCAAATAGAGACTATTTTATAGGCCTTGCCATCTCTTTTAATAAAAAAGCTATGGCTTGACAAGCACTCAGCCTATATTGAAAAACATCAAATTCCTAAGGTACCTTCTAGTATACCAATCAAATCACAAATTATATAGCAAGAATTCAATACTCATTTGGACCCAA